CCATGTGGGAGTACACACTGGAGAGAGGTCAGCTGTCATTGGCTTCACTCTGTCCCTTAGCTTGGTGGAGCCCTGGGCAGCCCTCTGTCATCCTTCCCTCCCCTAGGGAAGAGTAAGAACTTCTAAAATAGTCTGTTCCCTCTTTGGAATCCTGACCTCCAGGTCTCAATCACAGTTTTTAATAATCCCCGCATCCATGTCTTTTTGGAAAAAGGCTCACCTCTGAAATTGGTATGCATGTTTCTCTCCAAGTTGAAAATAAATCTTTAACAGGAAATGAAGGGGCAGTCCAACATGGCAACCCGAACTTGAACTAGAACCATCTGTTTCTTTTCCTCTATGTCAAGCCTTCTGCGCATGGGCACTTAAGGACAAAAGACAACACCAGGAACCACCTGCTGGAGCTCCCCAACTACACGGTCCCAGCAGGAAACACTGAACAGACAATCATCAGGATGCATTGTGAATGTTTGTCAGCTTTTGCACCTGTTTGACTTCCTTTTAGGGATTTGCATTATTGATACGATTAGTAAAAAAGGCCAAGAAACGTTTCCCACTGTAACAGGGAGGCCCTCGCTAGACCAATGCTCAGGAGATGGTGGTTTTCATTCCAACTCCGCCAGATGTGTGCCTGCGAGCATTCATCCTGGCTGGAACTGCTTCTTATTCTTTAATGTGAGTCCTAGACGGCTTGATTTCTAAAACGCATCTCAGTTCTAACATCTTACAATTCTAAGTAAGAGGATGAATAAGAAATAAGGAGCAGAGGTGACTGATGAAACCAATTCTCTGGGCTTTAGAAGAGAGGCTCTCTCCCTTGGTGGCCCAGGTCTGAATTTAGGGCAAGCTCCCGTGTGCCTCCCGTTAGGGCCTCTACATGTACCATTTTCAAGATATCAGAGGCTGTATGACTTGACTCATTCTGTTAAAGGAATTGAAGGCAGGGTTAAGGAAATAAATCTACTTCCATGCAAGCGGAATCATCTCTGATGGCTGCATAGTCTACACAAGGACCTAATTTGATCAGCTGTGTGTCAACCAGACTGTGTGTCTGCCTTGGATTTTTGCATCTCAGAAGAGAAATTAAGGAGAGAACGACAACTACCCACCCGAGAGATGGTTGTTTTCTCCAGTTCCAGCCTACTTTTTATTTATTACTTTTTTTTTGCTCCATTCCCTGTTTTGTTATGATTTATAATCTTGCCTGTCCCCTGCAGTGGCTTTGGTGTTAGGTGTTACTGAGTAAGCGAGTGGCTGGCTTCCAAAAATGACATGGCAGCTTTAGTCCAGGCTGAAGCCAGGTCAGCTAAGCCTGATACCGTTCTTTCTTCTTACCTACAAGCTAACATGTTCTCCCAGGCAGGGAGGAAGGGAGACGGGAGGAATCACCTTTATAAAGTCCCTTTCTGTTCTCACTTTGTTTTCCCTTTCTCAGCATGGCATATTGTGGTGAAATTTATCTGTACATTGATGAAACTGGTCCATGTTTTCCAGAATGCATTCTTAAGGAAACGAGTGTGTGTGCTCTACACTGAGGGGTGGATTACACTCTTTCAACTTAACTGTTTCCCAGCAGGTTCCCCATCCAGACACGCATTATTGTTTCAGTGATGATGTGGCAGCTGATAGTGTTATTCATGCTGTAATTGAAAGGACCCATGTTCCGGCAATTCTTTTTCTGCTGCATTTATGAAAAGCTGTCCCGGGCTCAGGGCTTTGTTGCTGTTTTGAGCCTGACATTGTTCTGGGTCTTTGTCTAACAGGAGGCTGTGTGACGCAATAGGAACCCCTCCATGCTGGGTGACACCTCTGTACTAGCAGCACTGCTGCGTAGGTAAATAGCACCAGTACTTTGGGCTTTGAGGTTAGTTCTCTGGCTTTGTTCTTGGAGCTGACAATTGCATCAGTCGGCAGTTGTCAGGCTCTTTGGGGAACTATTTCTAGACTCACCCAGTGGAAGTAGTCAAAGACAGAGTACCCAAGCATGGAGTACTAGAATACTCTAGAGCAGCGGTCGGCAAACTTTTGAGACGGAAGAGCTGCCAGGGGTCAGCAAACTGCGGCTTCATGAGCCGCAGGCTCTGAAGTAAAATTGAAAATGAAAATAAAACTATCATAGTTTCATTTATAAAATTTTTAAAGGATATTATTCACATAATGGTGATCATGTAAAAAAATATATATATATTTAATTATATATTTTTAAATTATATAATAATTTAAATAAGTTTTAAATTATTGTGAGGGACAGGATTGGCTCTTCCAAAGGTCTGCAGACTTCTGAGACGGAACGTACCCAAAGGAGCCGCATGTGGCTTGCAAGCCGCAGTGTGCCGACCTCTGCTCTAGAGTACCGAGCAACTGACCTTGTGCTTGTGAGTACACTGTCTTTCAAAGTGCAGTGTTTATAATAGGTGCTTTAAAAAGGAATTGACTAATTGATTTACTTTTGTTCTTTGGTCAAATGATAATTGAGACTTACGGATGCTGATATGGAATAGTTTGAGAAGCCAGTGGCAGTGTCTAAGCTGGGTTCTCCCCTGGGCCCCACTGTTCTATCATCAAAGCCTTACCACCCTCTAATCTCGTAGATGTTTCTCGAACCTGTCTACTTCTCCCTGGCTCCATTGCCATCATGCTAGCCCATCATTGCTATGTCACGCTTGGCTAATGCATGTAAAATTCTTAGTGCAGAGCCTGGCACATAGCGAGTGCTCAATAAGGCGTTTATTGTGAATAATTGAAGAAAGCGTGATACATGTATATGAGGTAACATTTCCCGATTTAAACATTTCAGAGACCCCCCATCACCCTTAGGATAAAAAGCAAGCTCCCTTCCCAGGACTACAGCTCTAGCGCCTGCCCAGCTCTCGCACGTCACCCAATGACACTTTCCCTTTTGAGATGGAACACCAGCCACGCTGACTTCCTTTCTTTTCTGGGACCCATGAAGCTTCTGCCCACCCCAGGACCTTCACACACGCTGTTCCTGCATCCTTGAAGCGCCCTTCCCCTCCTCTCCACCTGGTTCGTTTTTTCTCATCCTTAAGGTTTTAGCTTAAATGTCATTTTGGTGAGGACTTCCCTGACTACTCTATCTAAAGTAAGATCCCTCTTGTTATTCTCTGTCACAAACTCCATTTGATACCTTCATAGCTCTTCCATGCCTGCAATGATGTCTCTCTCTTTGATTACTTGTTTATTGGCTCTCTTTCCCTCTAGACCCTAAACTGCATGAGGGCTGGGACTGTGGCTGTCTTTTGCCACTGCAGGCCTGGCACATGGTTGATGCTAGAAAAACATGGTCAATGTTTGTTGAAGGAATCAACAGAAAGCTGGATGCTAATCATAATAGCCATATAGATAATAATAGATAATAATGCTAATGATTGGTTAGGGGAATGTCCATCATGTGCCAAACACTATACTCCATGCTTTGTGTTCATTATCTCGTTTAGCCATCTCTACAGTTTCAAACAGATATTCATCTGATGAGGAAATGAGCCATGAAATAGGTCAGTTGGCCCAGCTATTGAATCCAACCCGCAGAGGGTTGGTCTGTTACTTGATGCCCCGTGGAGATTAAGCCAAGTCCCCCTCAGATCTAGGGCATGGACAGATGCCTCACCTTGAAGAAAGATGAGGGGTAGGGGTGCATCTGAGATCTGCAACTCCCCTCGGGGCTGCACCACACCCAGTAGCATCCACTTTCTGAGAACTTTGTTTTGTGCTCTGAGCTTCAGTGGGTGACTCAACAATACTGCGTTCATTTCAATAAAGATAATGCCCTCCCTCAGAGGGGGTGTCAGTGTAGAAGGGGCTCAGTGGAGGAAGGGCAGGGCAAACGGGCAGGCAAAGAAAGGTCCTGTTTCTCATAGTCAAGCATGTTCTAGAAGTGCCTCATGAGGAGACCTGTATATTCAAGCTCAGGAAAGGGCAGGAGAGGGAAGGGGACCGATTTTAAGAGGACGTGAGAAAAGTTGTGCCCTTGGGTGTAGCCTCTGAGGAATATTTTAAGCCTTCTCACCAGAAAGGGTGACGGTGCTGGGGAGTGATCTGAATCTAAGCAGTGAAGGGTGAAGAGTGAGTCCCTTTAGCGGATAGCTGGGCTCGTTGTCTGCCGCTAGGTGTTCTGGGACATCACCACTGATGCACTTTCTCTTCAGTGCCGACTGCAGGCCTCATTCTGTTCCTGGCCGCTGCAGTAGCTGGGGTTCCAGTGGCCTTTCCCTTGAGTTACAGCCTCTTCTAACACCATAGCCACAGGAACCTAGGGCCTCCTCCTCTTTCACCCAATAAAATCTTGTTTAAAATTAAAACTACTTTCTGCTGCCTAATCTGTCTTTTGGCTTAGACTGAATTTCCTAATTCCTGCTATGAACTGAGGGGGACCCTTCAGAAGCTCAGGCCCATGATAATAACAGCTAACGTTCATCACGCATGTACTATGTGCCAGGCACTGTGCCGAAGCTTTTTCCACAACAACCCAATGATGTCGGTACTTTTTACTGGTCTTTTGTTTTCCAGATGGGGTTAGGGATGCACAGAGAGATCATATGAGGGGCCCAAAGTCACACACCTAGCAAGTGGTGGCACCAGAAATTGAACCCAAGGGAGGCTCTTGGACTGGTTCTCTTCAACTGTGTGCTAGGCAGTGGTGTGTCTTGCCAGAGGCAGCCGTGAGAACCCCGAGCTACCAGATGTGTCACCCTCCCTATTTAGGACAAGCAGCTCAGCTCTCAGCCTCTTAAAGAGTCTTTGCTGGCTGGTTTTGTTCAGTGGGTTGGATTTGCTGGCTGACTCTGGCACTCCCGGAATTCTTACAGCACAGATGCCTGAGTCATACAATCTGACATTCCATCCAGTGTGACCGTACTGCCATCTTGAGTCATTTCCAGATATGTATATCTTTTCTCCCCATCTGAATTGCAAGATGTTTATGAACAGGGCCCATGCTTGTGTTTCTCCAGTTTCCACAGAGTACCTGATATGTTAGTAGGTGCTTAGAAGTGGTTCAATGCCACTTAGCCCGACTAGGGGACAGAGTAGCCTCCTCTTAAGTGGCAGCCTTCTACAGGTGGATTAAACTTGCATTCGACCAGTATCAATAAGCCCTTATCTCAGCAGGACAAATGTGGTTTGCTTTGGCAACTGTCAAGCAGAGGAAAACATCACCTGTACACTCTAGAACCTGATTTCTGGGAGTGTTTCAGGGTCTTGGCCATCTTGTACATTTTATATTGGCCTCTTTATATCAGGCATCACTGTGCTTATAATTCCTGAGGTGAGTGCTATTCTCAGTCATTTGTTCGAAAGACAGAACCAAACTGAGCTCTGAGATTGAACCTGGTTGGCTTGGTGGAGCTTTGGGGTCTGATCTGCCAGGTAGTTTCCATTTGGTTTTGCTGTGAGTTGATTTGCATGCCTGCTGGTTTGAGAAGGAGCACAGGCTGCTTGATGGGTCAGGGGTGGTAGCTATGTAGCCTTGGAAGAAAGGGGGTAATACATGCTTCAGAGTGGTGCTTTTTATTTTTTCCCCATTTTGGACAAAGAATGCTCAGACATTCTTTCAACTTGCCTCTCACCCTTGGCTTACCTCGGATAAGGAGAGTGTAAAGAGCTAAATTACAGCCTTCTGGGAGCTTCCTGTCTTTCTGGAGCTGAATGCCATGTTCCATTTGAAAGGATTTTTTTTTTTTTTGGTTTTTCTTGGATCAGACCTCTTCTTTTGATTATCCTTGGACGAGGAATGCATGCTTATTACTTGTCATGGTGTATGCTGACATTGGCTGTGCTAAGGTACCTTTGTGTCAGGAGAGAGAATGGAGGCCATTGGCAGGCTAAGCAACTTCGAGCAAGAGGTGACCTAACCCCTCCTGGTGCCTGTCCCCCGGCAGATTTTTAAGACTGATAGGTTACCTTTGCTCTTTCCTCCAGCTACCCAAGACAGTGTGAAAGGGTCAGGGCACCATGGGCAAATGCTCTACCACATTGTGTGGCCAGCAAACTTATAAAAGAGAGAGAATGTCAGGTAAAAGTGGCACATCGTTTTGGGTACAAACATTCCAGGGAAACACGTTGACAAAGGCTGACTCAGTGATAGGGCCAAGCGGGTGGGTCGTTGGCCTGGGTCTCCTCAAGGTTCTTGTC